TCCCAATTAAAAAAAAATGAGGTGGTGTGTGTTTTTTTTAACAACCATCTATTGTTGATTTAAAGGATGAAAGGCAATTTTATCCTAAGATATATTTCTGTAAAGTTTTTATTTAAGACAGTCCAGCCCAGCCCTTGTTGCCTCTTGCCTAGCTCTGGGTCCATTCTCCATTCCAGCTGAGATGTTTATTTTCCATTTAAAGCAGCTTTTGCCTGTTCGGGACTGGTGATGAAGAGCCCAGGATAATGAAATCTGCACAGTTGAGACTTGGCGGTTGGCTAAAGTCATTATGCAACTCTTAACATTTTCCTTTTGTTTCTGTCAATAATAAAGAATTGTCAGTTTTTCTCATAGGGTTCACCCTGTAAATACACTAGAATTTGCTCATCTAGTATTTTGTAATGGCAAAGTTAAATTATTTTTTAAAGTTAAGATTTTATGCCTCTCAAAGAGACAAGAAAATTTAGGGACTGTGTGATAGCATCATTCAGATTGTCTGAGGTTTGCTAAATGAAGTTAAGAGAATGGAGACCCCTCCACAGGGCTTTGCGTGTCTGTATTTTATCAGACTATTGTGCCATGGTTGAAATAGCAAGTATAACAGGAGAAACAGTGAAGGTTATGGAAAACAACATTTTCCAGTGGTGGAGCAATTCAAAACAATTAGGATCCTTTGGTGAGGTACCTTCCTTAGTCAAACAGTAAATCTTTCCCTATCAGCCCTCCCTAATACCTGGATTTCTGCTCTTAGAAGAGTCTCAAACCCTCATCTGAAATCAAATGAAGCATTTATATTTAAGTGTACCTACTCAGAGCAGTCCGGAACAGCTTAAGATTTATCAATCATCGAAAAGGGGGGGAAACCCAACCAAACAAACGAATAAATGATACCAAACTCACTCTTGTCAAGTCCAAAATCTACCAATTTATAGTAACCCAACAGGACAAAGTAGCACTGCCCCGTGGGGCTTCCAAGGCTGGAAACATTTACAGAAACGTAGATGCCATGCCTTCTCCCGCAGAGCCACTTCTAGATTCCTACTGATGACCTTTTGATTAACAGCTGAACACTTTAACCACTGTGCCACCACCACACCTCCTAATCAGCTACCAACACCCCCCCCCAAAACAAAAGTAAAAAAACAAAACCAACAACCAAGCTCAACTTGATTCCAAGGAGTTAGGCTGCCAAGCCAGAAGCACGTGGTTCAAACCCACAAGTGGCTCTTGGGAGAAAGATGGGCAGTCTCCTCCTGTGTGATGTACTGTCTCTTCAAACCCGCTAGGGATTGGAACTTGAGGTTTCAGAAGTTAAATACATCTAGATGATAACAATACCTTGCATGTGGCCACAAGTTTAAATATTTCAAACAGAGTGTGGGCAAAGAGCACAGACATTGAGGAGATAAAGAAGACCTACTCTTTGGTGTTGGGTGTATCATACTTGTGAACAGAGATAAGAAGGTTGTTTGACTGTGATTAATAAAGTGGAGTAATACCATAGACTGCTAGGAGAACAAACAGGTTTGTCCGGGAGAGGATGAAGCTGGGCTGTTCCTTGGAGGCAAGGATTCTGAAGCTTCATCTGACATACCTTGGGCATGTTGAAAGGAGGGACCATTCCTTGGAGATGGACATCATGTTTGGGAGAGTGGAGGGACAGTGCAAAGAGAGGAAGACCCTCGATGAGATGGATTGATTCAGTGATTGGAGTAATGAGAGTAGGTGTGTCAGAGACAGGTTAGCACAGGACGGCACATAACAACAACAACAATGGTCGAGGCAGGTATATAGAACAATACAACAGATGGATGGTCTTGATCACAACATTCAAGTGAGCCTTGTAGATGATGGGTACCCAGCAACCCATAGCAGTTCCCACCCTGAACCAACTCAAGTCCTTCACCTCCCCACCTCCACATGGTCTTGATAACTTGCTAGTCTTCAAATAAACCAGGGCTCCTGACTTCCAGATATATCATTGGCAGCTAAGCTCTTCAGATGGCATTTATAACTAGCATTTATGTCCTGAGGCTACAGTGGAGGAATGAAATGAGATTTTGTATAAAAAGGTCACAAGAATGGTGTAAAAATAGGACATCAGAGTTCGTATTTGCAAAGTTTCCTTCTCTTGCGTACCTCCCTCGTCTCTTCAGCTTTATATCTGGTTGTGAAAGGGTGTTCTCATAGATCAGCAGGAGTTACAGAGGTAAAATTTATTAGCAGTGTTAAGTGGATAATATTTACAATCCTCATCCTGGGTTAATAAAATTCAGAATACAGATAGTCATTATCCAGATGGCCTGAAGAGCTCGTTCAACCATAAGAGTTCCAGACAGGAACAAATTGGAGTCTGTAGTAAGTGCAGAAGGACAAAATTGCATATTTTTATAATCACCACCATAATTTATATTTATTTGTTTATGTGCAACAGATGAATAATTGACTTACAGTAATATAATTGTGGCATGGTTTTACGTCTTTGGCTGTGACTGCATTATCTTAAAATGCTTCTTAGATTACCACCAAAACAATTTCTTCTCCAAAGGAAAGATGTTCAGTCTTTGGAAACTTGATATAGAAAACGAGCGATCCAGTTTGTGCATGTTTCCTTGCATGCTGTTCCCTTTGCCCGAGGCTCAGCACCTCTGGCAGTCACTCTGGTTCTAAGCAGCTTGCTAGGGATTAGAGGACCTACGGATGTTATTTTCACCTTTGACACGGAAATTCTTTTTAAGATTATGCGTGAGATTTCTCTATAAATAACAAGTGAAGTAATAATACTTTTTATTCTAACTCTAAGATGGCCTCCATCTCTTTTAAATTAGTCTTCTGTAAAAGGGATTTCATAATCCCACTAATGCCCCATGGTTCAAATTGTTTCAAGGGTTCTTCCCTGGAGCTGCTATCTGAGCTAGTTTATAAATCAACATAAAAATCAATCTCATATTTTTAATGTCATTTTATATTTGGCTACCTCCAAAGATGTTCCAAAGGCAGTCAGTTCAAATCCAGAAGCTGCTCTGCAGAAAAAAAGATGGGTAATCTCCTCCTGTGTAATTTACAACCTACAAAACCCCACTGGAGGGTCACTCATGTGTCGATTTCTTCTTGATGGTGATGAGTTTGAGTTGGTGGTTTGTTTTTGTTTTGTTTTTTTAATAAAACCATACAATTTCAAGATTTATCAAGAGATAAATTTTTGTCCTATAACTGGCTCTTCATCAGAATTGTTGTTATTGTTGTTATTTTGTGTAGAGTCAGAACCAACCCATAACTAACCCTCTGTGGGTTCACAGGGGCTGTTAATTGCACGAGAGGAGATTATACCCTTCCTTCTCCCACGAATGACTTAAATTTTGAAGGATCTCTTTCTCCATTGAAGACATTCAGATTCAGCATTTGCCAGGTCGAGGACAAGTATTCACTCTTTAAGAACCACAGACACAATGCTACCCTAACTACCCGCCTATTCTTGGATCGTCCTGCTCCCTTCCTGCCAAGCCATTTTCTATCCTGGAGTTTAACACCTGCTGTGGCTACACCCTTCACTTTCAGAGACAGGTTCATGCTTAGATAATCTTGTGAGGGAAAAGATGCCTTCATATTATTCTTCTTTATATCTCTTTAGCTGTGCACTTAACTTCATGTTGTCTAAATAACCATTTTTCTTAATCAGTTCCATTAAACACTTACTGAGTTCTAGCCAATAGACACCACTCTGAACAAGTTTTTCATTCTTGCAGTTAAAACTCTTTAAACATGACCATCTAACCAGTTTTCTGTTTGACCATAGATCCATTTCTAAAAGGCAAATTGTCGGTGTTATTAGGAGCCACTGAGCCGAGTATGACTCATAGCAACTCCAGGATAAACGGGTCTGAACACTGTCCTATCCTGTGCCGTCCTCAACATCTCTGACATACTGGAACCCAGTGCTGCCATTACTGTGGCAATCCGTCTTGTTGAGGGTCTTCTCTCTTTCGCTGACCGTCCGTCCACCTTTCCAAGCATGATGTCCCTTTTCAAGGAATGGCCCTTCTTAATAACATCCTCAACGTATGCAATTAACTTAAACCCTAAAATTAATCAATAGATTGCACTCCTCACCCACCCCACCCCACCCCCGTCCCAGCTGCTAAGTAAACAGTGTGTACCTTGGCTTGGGATTTCCCATTCTCCTGGGAAGCAGAGCCATTGCCGCTTCCTCTTGACCCTCAGCAGCAACCATCTTTAAGTCTTTTTTCAATCATTTCGGAAAAACTCCAAAGTCATTCCTCATCCTGCTGCATATTCCCTTTGCCACACACTCCAGATTTCTTGAGGAAAATGGAGAAAGGAGAATACGATTTCCTTTTCAATTATTGCTTTAAAATGAGTCCTTGGGAGAGTATTTTTTCCAGCCCTCTCTTATTTGATTGCTATATCAAACTTCACATTTAATGGACTCTGCCTTAATGTCCTGCAGCCCTCTCTACTTATGCTGCTTTTTCTCCTCCAAGTCAGCAAGTTGCCATGGTAGTTTATACCCTATGGAGAACTGCTTTCTACCCCAGGTACCGGGTCACTGGAACATTGTGAGGGCCTGGACATGGGTTAGGGCTAGGGCTGTGTCAGAAGGTCAAACCCTCGGGTCACAGTACCTCTGCAAATCCACATGGTAGTCACTGAGCTAAAACTGGGTGCCCACTGTCCTTGGTAGCCAGACTCATCTCCAGTAGGCCGTTTTGTGTTTAGAGAAAACAAAAGAGAAAATAACATGTTCACCAGAATAAACCATTTAGGGGTCAAAATAACAGTCCTGTGTTTTTGTACTTGTGTGAGATATAAAAAGAAACTTTGAATTTCAGTTTTCCTTGGTACACACATCCAGACTTCTGGCTTATGCGTAGGCACTTCCATAGAAGTAGCTGCCCTAAGAAGCTATCTGAGCCCCAAACCTTTTGACTGTTCTGGAAAGCCGGGCGGTCTGTAACGTGAGGCCCATTCTCTCCTGACAGAGTGTTATAAATGGACACTGACATGGACTACGAAAGGCCCAACGTTGAAACCATCAAGTGTGTGGTCGTGGGCGATAACGCCGTGGGGAAGACGCGCCTCATCTGTGCCAGAGCATGTAACACGACGCTCACGCAGTATCAGCTGCTGGCCACCCACGTCCCCACGGTGTGGGCGATTGACCAGTACCGGGTCTGCCAGGAGGTAAGGACAGAGAGTGCTGGGACTCTGAATGGTGCATTTTCACTGTTGCTTGTGTTATTCAAAACAAAACAAAACCTGAAGACAGTTTGACTTAAAAGTAAATTTATTTTTTTTTAAAAAAAAGTAACTACCATTCAAAGCAAGACTACCATCCTTTTAGTGCCACAAGATAAAACCCAAAGCAAAATGCAAATTTATGGGGAATTGTGGTATTCTGAATAAGAGGTCATGTGGTTCCAGAAAGAAAATTAAGACTTTTTTTAAGTCTTATTAATGAAATAAGAAAACTGAATTCACATGAGTTAAGTGGGCATTGAGAGGGTTCCCAGACATTCTGCACCCCCAGGGGTTCCCCAGCTAAACCCTGAGCCCTGGCTTCTCTGTCTCTCCCGCAGGTCTTGGAGCGTTCCAGGGATGTGGTGGACGAAGTGAGCGTTTCTCTCAGGCTTTGGGATACGTTTGGGGATCATCACAAAGACAGACGCTTTGCTTATGGCAGGTAAACCACGACTAGTGAGTGTGGTGTGTGCCGTGTGCTGTGTGCTGGACACTGAGCAGTTTCCTTTCTCAAGTTAGCAGCTGCCTCCCAGTCAACCAAAACCACAGCTACAGGCTTTTGAAATATGATGGGTTCTGCACTGTGTCTAAGAAAAGAATAAAACCTAACAGAAAAAAAAAGAACTCAAGCCCCAAAACATTATTTCCTGATGTAAAAAAAAAAACAACCACAAAAAACAGAGACAGCCCTGCCCTACCGTTCCTCTCAGGAAATATCTAGTTAAATTTTTTTCCCAAAAAAACGTCCCCAACTAGATTTAGTTTAAGAAGGGAGTTTGTTAGATGGAGGATCCTGTCATGCCCTGAAGCCTGGGGCTGCTTTGATTGCTGTTCTCCTGAATAACACTTCATTTGCCTTCTGTTAAAATGTTTCATTTTAGCACTTGGCAGCCCAGCTACAGAAGGTCTCTTTGGTCTTTTCAAGACCATGTTAGCAGAGTCTGATGTTATTTGCTTTTGGCTTTGTGTTATCTGAAAAGCCTATTATTTTTACTTGAAGGTCATTTTTTAAAAAAGAAAGAAAAATAACTTTGAAGGCCTTTAACAAGGCCAGTTTGTGAAATGAACTAAAGCACTAATATCTTCTTCCTCCCCCCCCCCATTTAAAAAGAAGTATAAGGGAAAATTCAGCAATGGAAGGATTAATCTAGAAGGATACTAAGATGAATAGGGTCATGGTCAAAGTGGTTTAAAATATTTAAGCAACTTCTGTTTGTCATTGTGACTTAAAGTTTCTCAGTGTATGCACCATAGCTATTAAAAGCTGGTCACAGAGGGGATTTTCTTACCTCCTAATGGTAAATATGTTTTAAACACATTTCAGTGTGGAATTGGTACTGTGGGTTTGTTGCCCCTTGTTGACATAAAACATTGTATTTCCCCTGTAGAGATCAGCATTAAATTAGATGCTTTACATACATGAGTTACTCTTTACTATTGAGGTAAACACTTGAAAGACTTTGCATTCTTTTCAAACCAGGAGCTATCTTAAGACTCTGAATAGACTTTCATCGGCATTTATTCAAGTGGTCTGAAATTCCAAACAGTTTTCCTCCCTTATTCTTCTGAAGTATTTCACATGCAGAAAGAATCTACAGTTCAGACAATTTTGTGCAAAAGGATTCAGAAATAGAGAAACTAAAACGTAATTTTAATGTCCCCTTGGCAACAGGACACTTGAACTTAATATTCAGCATCACAAATAATACTCTTTTCTCTCATTTCCTTTTTTTTGAAATTTCGACAATGCCCTTGGTTCTCTCATGTTGGGTGATGCTTCTGTTTTCTCTTTTAGTCAAGTGGTCTACATGAATAAAATAGAAATAAATGAACCTTCTTATAAGTATCATGCAAACAGGTTTCAATATCTGTGGTTTAAAGAAAGCATAACATAATGAAAATTGTAAGAACAGATGCACTAGATTTTAAAAGGGGTTTTTTGCACCCTTCTCAAAAGATGTCATGAAGATGATGGACTTGACATTAAACTTATCAAGATATTTGTTGTTTCGATTCTATTGACGTTTCAGTAACTGACTGATCGTTGCTGCTTGAAGTATTTGTATTTTGAATAATGCACCTTAATTTGGCCCCACATGATAAGGTTTTTATCGTGCAGACGTAAGGCCTGTTTTATTTTTCCCCAAGATCCCTGCTCAGGATTTATTTAATGATACAATGGCCGCCATTGATCTGATATTGAAGGCCCTCTAGTCTGGTCTGGTCCAGCTCCCTGACGCATCTGGAGTCATTTTTCAACAGGTCATGCCTGTGCTTGTTCACTCCCCACAAAAATAAGCTGCTCTTTCATGTGACTCCATCAGTTCAAAGTCCATTGTTCTGCTCTGTTGTCTGTACTGTTTGGTTCTATTAACTGTAACCTGTTACCCCTTGAAGGGAAACAGGAAATGCCTCCCATGCCAAGTTTGAGTCTCTTAGCAGCACAAGGGGCTGCGGGAAACATTCCTGTGTTTCTGCCTGCATTTACCTTGGGTCTTGCTTTGTGAACGTGTTTGTAACTTGTATTTCCTCTGTATTTTCCAATTCTGCACGTCTCCCAGGTGTCCTTCCCCAGACTCTATGCCTGGCAAAGAATAAAAACCAGAGCTGTCTTTCTCTCTCGGACTCCAGGATGTTTCAGAAACATAAATAGGGCAGCGCTGATAAAGCAGCAAAATTACATTTTGTGGAAAGTCTGATAATGTTAGAAGTTTCTTTTACTTGGCACTTGAACTCTGACCACATTCTCTTGCTATAAGAGGGCTGTTTAATTTCCTAATGACCTTTATTTTTAGCTGTAGATCACTTCAGAAGGAGAAAGCTCATAATTGCTCTTTCTAAGATTAATTTGGCTTATAAACCTGTTTATAACAGCCTTGGAGTGTGGACAGACATAAACTTGGAGGTCTGTGGAATGTATTTCCTATGCTTGGAAAGGTGTTCAAAACTGTCTTTAAAAAGAATTAATTTTATTCTTGTGGTGACGGTGAAAGAAACCAGATTCATACCCAGCCTTCAGATTCTTAGGGCAAAGGTAGTTAATAAGTTACCCCTTCAAGCATTCCTTGGCACGGATGAGCACAAGTTCATAGAGAGGACCCCATGGAATCAGAGTTTGGGTATCTGGCAGCCCACCAATTTGAACTTGCAAGTGTCTTAGTATGGTGTAACTGTGACAAGCCTGCCATTGTAGTCTTTATAATTTGAAAGCAACTATTCATCCTTGCCCCATTGTCACAGTCACCGTGTCAGTCCATTTTGTTGAGGGTCTTCCTCTGACCTTCCACCTTTCCTAGTATGGCATCTTTTTCTAAGGGCTGCCTTCTCCTGACAAGATGCCCAAAGTACGTGAAAGGAAGCTTCCCTATCTTTGCCTTTAAGGAGCATCCTGGTTGCACTTTCTGAAAGACAAAAGGGTTTGTTCTTTTGGCAGCCCATTGAGTATCCATTCAATACTGTTCTTCAACACCACAAGTCAGTGACATCAGTTCTTCTCTCAGCCTATTGTCCAACTCTCAGATACACAGGGAAAAAATGGAAAAGACCATTTTCCTGAAGAAAACACACCTTAGTCGACATAGTAGGTGCTTTCTACCTTTAGTTCTATTAATCTTTTCAAGAACCCTAGGCGAAAGAGTGCATCCCCATCGTAGCTGAGGAGACCTGAATCCTTTCACTACCATACTTGACCCTACAGTGACTCTCCGAAGGAAATCTGAACTCAGCTCTCACAGGCTCCCGGCTCCCACACTCTCCACGCGCCAAGCTACTTCAGCTACATTTTAAACATAATAGAGCTAAAGAGCGCCACGCACTAATCAGCCAGTTCCCAAAGCTCCTTCCATATTTGTGCAAAGGCTTAGAACTAGACGAGAATTCACTTAGTCCTTCCTAGGAAGGGGCAACAATCCATTCAGCTGGAGAAAAATTATTAACAGGCATCTGTATATTTAATGAACAGGAAAAGCAGAAGGAAGCATCGACTCCGGAACACGGTGTGTGAGAAGTACTGACCCCTCTCCTCACAGTGAATGACTTCACTTCTCTTGTAGCTTCCCTCACCCACGCACCCCTCCACCACTTACTTTCTATCCACTTTGGGATGAACTATCGGAGCTCTTAACTGGATCTTTTAAAATGTCAAGGGCAGAACTGTTCAGAGCAACCAGGACTGTGACCAACTATTCTTTTTTTGGCTAGAAATGAGTCATTTCTTTTAAATGTATCACTAAACTCAATTTCCCCCCCCCCAAGAGCTAATATAAGAAAAAAAAAATATTCACACACCTAGCACTGAAAAATGTAAACCAATAGAATGAACTGTGTCCTTAGCAGACATCAGATCCTTCCTGCCCTTCTCTAAACACCAGAACCCAAAACCAGACCCAAGGCTGCCAAGTCGGCTCTGACTCATAGTGACCCTATGTGACAGGGTAGAACTCTTCCAGAGGGCTCCACAGGCTGTGCTCTTCAGGTCCAGAAGGAAAAAGATCTCATCTTTCTCCTATGAAGCATCCAGTGGATCCAAACAGCAACCATTCAGTGAGCAGGTGAGGGCTTTAACAACTCTGTCACCAATGCCCCTTCCTCTAGACTCAACCACACATAAATAATTACTAATAGATTTTATTGTTTCCTTTCCTTGAAAATGCCCGTCATTGATTTGTCTGAGAGTCAGATAGCCTTCCAGTGCTGAATAAGGCTGAGAGTGGTGAAAACAGCACCTACAGTTTCTTGCGAGGCCCAGGAGCCAGGCCTATGCTAGGTGTGCTGCATAGCCTGTCTCCTTTCATTCTTGTGGTGCCATTGCAGGCGATGGTATCCTCATTTCACAGTTGAGGAAGCAGGCAGAGAAAGTGGTCAAGGTCAGACAGCAAGGAAAACATGGACCTGAACTTTCCCACTAGGCCTGTCTCACACCACAGCCCATGTTTTCCCATGTCACTATTCTGTTCTAGCTGCTGCTAATGATTGATGACAAGCCAATAGACTGATGACTCCTAATGGCATCTAGAACTTTCACTGTCCCCTGTGGAAACCAAAGACAGACATTCACTATGTATCACCTGCTCTTTTTCTTTTTTAATTTTAAATTGATTTGAATGAAAATTTACAGAGACTTTGGATTTCCATTATTTCATTGTTGCACTTTTCTCCCTGCCCACCCCTCCCCCCCAATTCACTTTTCTTTTTGAAAAGTGAAAGAAAAAATTGTTTCATTGTTATTCAATCCCCTCCCCAAATCTGCTCCACTATGCTACCTTCGTTCTGGACTCCTGTCATAATAATAATATCTAATCATGTCAGTCCTCTTTTATAACCGTGGCATTATACCATATTTGTCTTTTTGTGACTGAGATATTTCACTCAGGGTAATGTCCTCCAGGGTCACCCATTTTGGTATCACCAGCTCTTATGATGGTTTGTTTGTTTGGTTTTTTT